CGTTATCGCTTCATGGGCCTAAGGAAAGGGATTTCCACCCAACCACCCACTGCTTATAAAAAGCTCTGTACAAGGCTAGAGGAGTGGAGTGAGTACCAGGAAGTGCCTTACAAGAAGTGACTACCAGTGAGTGAGTGCTGGAGGAAGCATAAGAGAAGAAAATGTTGAAGTGTATTATCAAGAAGTCAGCCAAAATTCAATCAAGAAGTCACCTAACTACATCCAGAATAGAGAGAAAGAGAGAGAAAGAGGTCAAAGAGCAGAGAGAGCGCAGCCATAATAACAAATAATTAAATAAAATAAAAGTAAGTAAAACCTTATATCTGGCTATCCTTTTCTTTCTTTAAGCAATCCGTTTTTTTGGAAATTCATTAAGCGTGAGTCTGGTGAATTTTCATTAAAGACCCTTAAGAATACATTAAGCGTGAGTCTGGTGTGTTCGTAATAACATTTGGTTATTATATTCCGCGCTAGCATACAGATTTCTCCACGCAACAATATTGCTCGTCCCGGCTTATGTGTTATGATAGCCAAATCAGAGCAACCCTGAGTTTACTCTTACTCCAAGCGTACCTGAGAGTGACCCCGACGTCACAATTTATTTCGACTATTTCTTAACCGTCGCTAGAGGTCAGAATATTTATTATTTATTTTGATAATGGAGTAATGAAAATTGAATATTTGATAATTTCTATATTATTGATTTTTTTATTATTCCTTATTAAGAAAATGATCATTTCCATCTACAATAAAGTATTCTAGTTATTAAAGAATTCCAAAAAGTCGTACAATAATCGACTCCGAAATGAAGAAAAAAAAATTTTTCGAAATAAATTTGAGAAAATTCATTCTACACTACAAATCACATCTTTTTTCCAAGTAAAATTCTTCCGTACGAGTCGGTGGTACTAAAATAATAATTCTTGAAAAGAAGTATTTTTTTTCTTTTAAACGTCTGTAACTTTTAAGCTAATCATGAAAAAACATCCGGTTACCTTGCATTCGGAAGCCCTTTAAACAAATTTGCATGTCTTTCTTTTAAATTTATCATGGAAACTTTTCCCATAAAAATGTTCAGACTTAAAAGTGGGCAAAAAATTTTTGATGTTTTACTTTATGGATTAATAAAATATGAAAAAAATTATTAATCGATTCGAAAGGAAATATACCTCAAAGTACTCGCTAGAACTTACAAAATGAGCTTCCGAAGGTTTTTATGAGATATATACTTCTTTAGTAACAAAACTTTTAATTTTATGTAATTTTTTCTCTGGGTGGGCAAATAAATATCGACGGTAGTGTACTTTTACCCGATCAAGAGATAATTTAAATACAGTCATATGAAACTTAGTGAAAATTAATAATACTGATCAGTATGAGCCTTTTAAAATGGAACTCACATGAAACGAATGGTTGATACCTTATGTAATTCTGTCAGATAAGTGTAAAATACAGTTATTTAATATCATATAAAAAGATTGTATCTTTTTCTATGAATTTTTAATCGTGGGAACTTTATGAGTATCTGGCATTACCACAAACATCAAAATATCTTTGGACAATAAAAAAATCAAATCAATTAGAAAAACCTAAATATATTATATTAGCTTTACCAAGAAATCTGAAGTCTGATAAAACTAAAAATTCCAGCAGATTTGATCATTGCAGTGAAACCAATGTTAAACATTTTCAATTCTCGGTAATATGGAACTTTAAATCTTGATATGAGTAATAATATAATCAATATTCTTTGTTATATGACATATATGCTAATTTACAACTGAATTATTCCAACAAAGAACGTATTTTCAATCCACTTTTGAATCGAAAATAATTTATTACGCATCCACCACTAATAGTAATAGATTGTTCGAAGTAAAATAAATTATTGAAACATGCTGCTGTAGATGTACGTCTAGAGTTTGAAATAAAAAATGATATACTAGCGGAAACAGGGGCATATTGTTTAATTTTACACGATCGTATATTTAAGTATAATCCAATAAGTGGTCACGTTATAAAATTTGTACAAGTATTGTGATATAATAGTCATGTATACTTTTGTATCAAATAAATGTGTTTAAAATTTCAAATACTTTTAATAAAATTAAAAATTTAAATGTTAAATAACAAATTTTTAATTTTAAAATCACTCGGTGAGATCGATCGACGCTTACTGCGCACAGGAGCGGAACTTCGGTGTCTCCGATTATATACAATGTATGGTCATGAATTACCTATGGAACCGTTTCCTCTTGTACGAGACGCGGGATGGTCAAAGGCAAAAAAAATTACTGCTGGATTGATCCAAGACTCCGTCCTCGGTCCCGACACATAAAATACTCCTATGATAGAATCCTGTGGATGGAGATGCCCGAGGGTGCTTTTCTTATTGGGTAAGCATATGATGTCATAGTCGTCATTACCGCAAGGGATGGAAAAACGGCTCCGATAAAACTCGACCAGCTAATAAATCAGCTTGAGCCATGGATCCATTGCTTCCACGATAAGGTAAATTATTACCTCACCCAGTTCCTATCAGGTCACAACTTTTTACGTACGTATCTCTATAAAATGGAAAAGGTGACGAAGCCCGGCTGTGCCAATTATAGGTGTCCCGCGATTATGCCCTCCGCACATTTTTCGTATGCGAAAAATTCAGGGGGTGGGCGAAGAGGAGTGAGCTTCAGAAAGAGATTTTGGTACATCAGGTCTGAAAATATATCAGGTCTGATGCTCTAAGAAGAAGAGACGTGGATCAAGGTTGCCTACTTTATCGAGTCCATCTTACGACAGAAGATGAACGAGAATTCAAGGAGTGGAGTATGAAGATTGAAGGAGCCAGAGCGGTTGGTAACCTAGTTCCACTGAAGTTTTGAAGTAATTTCTAACGATGGTTCTAGGCTGGGGTCTAAATCAGGGTGACGAGGAGAGGAGAGGTTTTAGTGGGTATTCCAGGCCTCGCACTATACGCCTGGTGAGTCCCACACACTGGCGGACTCGTGAAGGACCGTAAATGGATTCCCCCTAATAATAATTATTATTATTATTATTGATCGACTAGCCTCTAGTGTGGTAATATTACTACAGACATTGTAGAGACTTTACAATAAATTACTTCTACACCTTAACATAGTAATAGGTAGTCCATAACGAAATGAAAAATAGCTCTATAGTGAAGGACATGCCCTTCGGTGTGACACTGAAATTCATGAACTTAGAGTGCGTGATAAATGCAAAGGACGTTATGAATGCAATCAACCGTGCCATGGGGACTGATACCAAGAGAAACGTGCACGTCTTTAAGGCGAACAATAGCGGACTAATTTTGCCGATATACGAATTTATCGTGAAAGAAGCAGAGGATTTGCTTAAGAAAGGTCAAATTAAAATCAGTTGAATTAACAACCAGAACCCAGGTTCTACATCCCCAAATGTTAAAGGTGCCTCGACTACGGACATATGAGGAGTGACTGCAACTGACCAAATATAAGTTATTACTATTAGAAATGTGATCAAAGGGGACATTTAGGTAAGGTGTACACTAACGCACCTTCCTGCTTTCTCTTCGTCGGGGAAGCCAACCAACATATGGCTTACGTGCCTGGCACAGCCCCGATCGCAGCAATCAAAGCGGCGTTAACAGACAAAAAACAAAACAGACTAAATAGACCTGACAATCTACAATATGTCCAATGCAATATGAATAGAAGTAGCATGGCACACGCATTGATTCCACCAATTGCAGCAGAAATGAACGCGGATGTGCTCGTAATAAGCGAGTAGTACAGAAACCTATCCGAAACATAGTGGATTATTAATAGCTTAAACATGGTGACGATGAGGGTTCGAGGGATAAACGCGACGCAAATCACAGATAGTGGGTCCGAGGACGACTATGTTTGGGCGAGAATTACCCTGTCACTATTGTCAGTGTTGATTTCACGTTGAAACTCGTTCAATAGATGTACAAATTTGCGAAAACAGCATTGTAGGAGTAACCTTATGTAAAAAAGGGCCTCTACCAGTTGAGTATAAATTCGTTCGTCGTAGTAGCAAAAAGAATTTTGATCCCATCTTGCCTAGTAGTACGAGCGCAGTAGAGAGTAAAATAAAGTGTCAGTCTTTTCTTAATGTACAATCAATTCATTATTCAGTGGTTGGCCTTGCTATTCTCCTTTCCTATATAACTGTACAAGAGCTCTCTCTCTCTCTCTCCCTTATGAGAAAAAAGTAGCCTTAGACAGTATCTTCTTCAAATTGTATCATTGTAGCCTAAAAATTCCACTAAGTGTTTGTTGCGGCGCTGTCTGGTCTTTCCTAGATAGATATGAAAATTCTCAGTAGAATTTCAAACGGCGCATCGAGATAGCAAACCGTATCTAGTGTTATCGAGCAACCATAATTAAGAAGTGCTATCCTCGTGGTTTCAACTCTAAGTAACGAATCTTCTACGATTTCAGTAAAGATTGTCGACGTTCATATAAGAACGTCTCAATCTATACCAGTAAATTATTCATTAATAATTCTATTACAATCGTTCTATTATTTTTATTATTTTCGATTATATAGTTTCTTGATCAAATTTTTGCTTTCTCTTGGGAATTTAATTTAAAAATTTATCTTTGAGTTCGAACTTAATTTTTTATAAAGTATTATTACAAGAACTTAGCTAAATTTAATCTCGTAAACGATTCCGACAAACAGTACTATGAACGTGAATATCATAAATAATGAGATTCTCACTGCATCAACTATCCTCACCTCATCTTTCAATAGTAATTAAAGGCATTAAAATTAAAAATTATAAAGTAAGAGATGTGAGCAAAAAGCAAGTAATAATACCAACTAAAAGTTACAAAAAAACGAATGGATTGAAATTCAACAAATTAAACATAAATACATCTAATTTTTAGTATATGTGATTCTTTTATACATAAATCGAGTGATTGAACATAAATCTAAACTATATTATTTAATTATAACTACAAAGTACTTACTTTCATCCGATTTTTTCTGGCGTTGATAATCATAGCTTTTAGCTCTTTGTTCGCATATACCAGATTCTCTTTCACGACTTTGTCGTTGACTAGCTGCTAACTGGCTACCGAGTCTCGAAGCTTCATGTCCAGCAACAGTTCTTGCACTAGTTTATAGGAATAAGAACATAAAAAATTCTCTGCTATATTTATTTTTTAGATCAAATAATATTTCAACAAAATATAAAAACTACAAAACCTTATAGGTATCGGTGCTGAAGTTTGTAAAAATCCGCTATCATAAGGTTCATCCATAATAAATGGATCAAGATTCATCATATCAATTGTTTTGCTTGGTGTTGGCATATCCAAAGTTAGATTAGTAATACCAACTTCGACTGCGGTCGAAGATATATTTACCTTGCATACAAAAAATTATTTTTTCGGTGAAGCCATTTCTTATTAAATCAATTAAAAATTGAATTGTTAATCTTACAAGGTCACAAATAGGAACCAGCACGTCATCTTCAAAAATGTTAAGTTCTATATCTTCTTCATCTATACGAGTACCGTACTGAGAAGTATTGCCTTGATTAGGACTAGTTTCTGACTTTATGAATGAATATAAAATAAATTACTTATTTGATTAAAAAGTAAAAAATCTTAATTCATAATAAACATACATGATTTTTATTGCTTTCGTTGCGTGAATGCGGCCGAAAACCTGGTCCAGGTGGTAAGTTTTTTTGTACACAACAGTTAACACCTGGACTAAAGTGTAATTCTACGTGAAAACGCTCTTCACTGCTGGGATCCTTCGTAGGGTCTTCGTATAGCATTACAACAATCTGGGACATATAGTTCAGCTCTGAAACCATACTCACGTACTCCATCGCTCTCCTCCATTGCTCATCACTTATGACCTAATTTAAATAAAATATTAAATACGAATAATTATATATATATATATATATATATATATATATATATTACGAAATATCTGTAATATCAATACTTGGACGAAACTTACATCGAGCAAACCGCCATACCGCAAAACAGTTAACAGTGAATGCACATGACTTTCGCTAGTAAAATATAGTCTTGTTCGAACGTGTCTACCGGGACTTGATACACCATGTGAATACCTAAAATCATTATACGTGAAAAATTATAAAAAATTTATGAGTATAGTCGTCGGATAACTCTCACATGAGATTTTGTATGGCCATATGGTAAAGAACAAAATTTGTCGAATAGGATCCCACGTGATTTCATGTAAAATTTCTATTTTTGTACAAAATACAATGAATTTGTATATTTAGAGTTAGCAAGATTTTTTAAAATAAAGATGAGTTTATGATTGTGATCCCGAAACCAAACAACAGTCTTCACAGTATAATTGGCAAAACATACATTGGGGAATACCTATTTTTTTATGCGGTGGTTCGAAATTAGTAATTTGATTCATAAGTTTTTTAATTCCGTAAATTTCTTTATGGTTTTCACTTATTTTTCATTCTACAAAAAATATTGATAACAAAATTTCGTTTATTCTCTATTTAATATTTGAAATTCTAATTACTTTATCATTATAAGATTCAATTTTTTATTTTAGTTTATCAGTATTGATAGACGGGTGCATACGTTCTTAAAATGCCTTATCTAGTTTTATTTTCATTTTTTTAAATATGTTAAAATCAGTATTTGTTTTCGCCAATGCTTTTAATATCCAAATAAACAGTTCTAGTTTTTCTATTTGTATTTTAATTTCGATATTTGGTAGTACTCTAAGGACAACTCTAAGAAAAGAACATTCCCAACCGTCCGCCTTCAATTTTGTTGCAATTGAGATATGTTATACTTTACAAAAAAATAAGAGATACGTATTTTTTTATCAGCCGAAAAAGCTGTCAAGGGGGTGAAAGCCACCCTCAAAAGTCACCCCTTAAACATTTAAACTGCAGTAACTTTGGCTGTAAAGAATCTTTTTTGATGAAACAAAATGGACAAAATTCTTACTTTAAAAAAATAAAACTGCATAGTTTTGGACTCGGGAGGTTCCAAACCCTACGATATACAGGGGAAAAACTACATTTTTAAGTGGATTTTTCGTATACAGAATCACAAAATTACTATAAAAAAACTAAAAATTAAATTTTCATCTAGAAAATGATAAAATAACATTGACGAGTTTCGGCATCTTTCATTTTTATGTATTTCGAGGGTGAACTACCCCTAAACCCTATTAATACTATATTAATAGTTATCGATCATCAATTTTGCTGATTTTCCATATGCTATGATGTTTAAAAGTTGGCTAGACAATGACACTGTTAGTCTGTAGGAAAATAAATGTAAGGGCTAAAGGATTCGGAAAGAGCGAGAAATTGTACGTTCTGATAAGGTATTATGTGTGGGGTGTGGTAACCCCTCCCCCCGGTGTAAGGTCATGTAGGGGTTAAATTTATTATTTTCTTCATCTATGCACAGGGATGATCGGGCAAGGGTAAGATTAATTTTAATAACCCAAAAACTCACATAATAAACCAACTCCAATATCCCCAATAACCAAATAACCAAGTGATTTTTTTAATAAGAACCCCCATTTTTTATCATGGATTCGGAAAGAGCGGGAAATTCTACTTTCAAAATTATAGGTTACTATTCAAAAAATGACGTTGACCTCCGAATGACCTTGAAAATAAACCTCAAGGTCAAATCCGATTTTTGGGAAAGGTGTCCCTCATTGTCCCAAACAACTTCTGTCTGAACAATTTTTTTCTAGAACGCCAACCGTAGAAAATTTCGGGATGGTTCCTTTAAAATGGGACACCCTCTATTATGTGAATTTGGAACATAGCTCTGTTCCAAATTCACATAATTGGATTTTAGTGATTAAAGGCCCAAATTATTCCTTATCAACCTGCCTTTATATCAACATGTCCATTTAAAAAACGTTAATATAATGATTCAATATTGCGGTCACAAAACAGAAAAAAATGGAAACCTCAATAATAAAAGTTTGCAAAAATAGGTTTTTAACGTTTTATTCAATTGATTAAGACATCAAATTGTAATATAAAGTTAAAAAAGTAGAATGGTGAAATCCAAGAAAGCTGATCCAAGATAGTGATTAAAAACATAAACATCGAGCATAATTGTATTTTCGATGGATGTGTAATGGATTTTATGGTCACTGATTAAGAATCCGAGATAAAATTTTCAAAATTCACAATGACAAATCTCATATGCCTACGACTCGACTTGAAAATAAATAGTTAACCTAGTAATAATGATCAGAATCTTCTTGCTAATACATCTACAGTAGTTTTTAAGAACGCTGAATAAGAATTATATGTCCAATTTTCAAAATTAAGCAAGGCATTCCTTGTGGACATAAAAATACAAGTGATGTAAAACTTTAAGATTTTTTTATATGAATATAAAAAATTTTATATGTGATTATAAAATAACTTAAAAGATTCTTCATAATGCTAATAACTTTCATATATTTATTATCTGATGATTCAATTAGAAACCATAATTCTATAATCAACTTATATGTTTTTTGGCTACTTAGAATAAAAGCATCGACACATATTTTTCTGCTTCTACGTTATTTGCTAAAAAATGCATTTTCAGACAGTGTATATTCATATGAAACTCATCTTGTTTAATTTAAAATTTAAAATTATTTTTGCGTTCCGACATGATGTTTCTTGTTGTTAAATTTTCTACCATTACGTTAGTTTCTTGATTATCGCTTACTATTTTTTGTGATTCACTTACAAAGAAAGCAAGGAGGTATTCGTCACCGATTTTCTTTATACTTTGCATACCTGTAGAGTATGAAAAAATATTGGACATGTGTTTTGTTTTTAGCGGTCTATACGGTAATTTAAGCGGCACCAACTCTGTTAGTTAAGGATCAAAATTGGCGGGAGATTCGGGAGTAAAATGATGTCATTCACAAGAGGCAGTAAAGGGATTCGCAAATTAACTTAAAAATGACTAAAACGCAAAAAACAAACAGGTAGCATATACGCAAAATGAAATGAGAAAAATGATTGATGAAGCGAACGCAGAAAATTACATTAAAAATTAAATGAATTGTAGAAAAGGAACGCAATTTGACACAGTCGATCGAAAAAAATTAAAATAAAAATAAAATTAAAATAGCCATCGCGATGTCTAACGCAAGAACAATTGAAGTTATGAGATGTAATGCAGCAAAGAAATAACACCGGTAGTGAGGAGTCTCTCCGAGTAGATTGAAATATGTGGATGAATGGTAAAATTGTTGATACAGGTACTTAGCAGCAAAAATTTTTAGAAGTGTTGCAATCAGTAAGCTGTGTAGTGTGTAGGTCCTGGTGTAGAGGCTGTGTTCTTGTTAGCATTGTTAGCAGAGATGTGTAGCTCAAAACTCGTCAAAGTTGGAGATTTGATGAAGGTTATGTTGTAACCAGGCAAGTGAATAATTCATCCACTGGCCAAAAAATTCACTGAAAGTCAAGAATTTTTAGCAGGAAGCGCAGTGGCCAGCTGGACGAACTCGCCTGCAAAAATATGCCGCTCGAGGAAGTGGCAAAAGTAAGAAAATGTTAACAAAAGAAGAGCGCCTCAAAAACCAATGTGCCGCTACTTACTGAGAGAGAGAGAGAGAGAGAGAGAGAGACGCAGCACGGACCTCGTTTACCGATCTCCTTCTCTGTTGTTTCTGTCTCTGTCGTCGATATCGTATTCTTTATCGCAGCTGTAGTCGCTGTCCTTGTTGTCGTCTTTGCTGTTGTTGTGGTTATTGTTGTTGCTGCATGACTGCTGCTGCACACTTCGCTGTCAATTGCTGCTGTCGCACTTTTCACGGCAATAGCCGCTTACGCGCGCATCTACGTCACCCCGCCGGAATCACACGTGAATCAGTGCCGGAGATATCCACAAAACTTATGACTGGGCACGATCCAGCCAATAATCAAAACTGCTCCGCACACCAGGTACATCTCCAAAAAAATATCTGGTCGACGAGGACGCGAGAAAACTTTTCAAGAAAACGATTCAAAACTAAAAGGTGCTCATGACAGATCTTGTTGAATCTCAGAACTAATTGCCCGAAAATCAGTGCGGGAATGCACGCGGAACTTGCGATGCCTCTCTTTCTTCTCCTTCTTTCTCTTCGCCTCTTTCTCTCTTCTTTATTTTGTCTCTCTCTCTCTCCCTCTCTCTTTCTTTCCTCGCTCTTCATTCGTCAGACACCTGCACCCTTCTTCGTCGCTTGTCCTCCTGCCGTACATAAACAAAGCAAAACCAAGCATGAGTGTATGTTCTATACGTAGACACTCACAACTTGGCACGGCGCGTAAACCTCGGCGAGAGCTCGACGGCAGAACAACGGCCATGCCGCGATACTTCGTCACAATCTATTGTTACTATTATAAATAACTTTACTAGATTCTTCTGATGAAAATGGTTCTTCTAATAAAAAATTTAAAACTTTTTTTGCAATGTTGTGCAATTACATTTCTTCATCGCTGATTGGAATTTTTGGTTCGCCATCATTGCCCCGATCAAATGTCATTGACAGTAATGTTATTAGAGGTTTTGTATCAACAGGCATTTTATAAGTCTACATAATATTTAATATATATATATATATATATATATAAATAATCAAAAGTTTGATTCGAAATATTATCCGATCAAATTTTGAACAGAGATTTTTCGATGATAGTAATATCATTAGATAATTAACCATATTAATATAAAAGCCAATTTAATTTTAACAGTAAGAAGTGTGGTAGAAGGCATGAACAGCCTAAGGAACATCATGAACAACTCAAGGAAAAAATGGTTAAAACTTGAAATTAATGATTTATATATTCATATCAATTAATTAGAAAAAATTTTAATGCTTTAATTTTAGTATAGTAAGTTTTATAATTTTGATGATAATATACTACAAATATTTAGACAATTTATTGAACAAAAAAGCAATAATACTTTTAACAAGTTATCAAAAACTTTGTAACGGGGTAACACCGTTTAATTATATTTTTATTCGCGCGACTTTGTTGAAAGGGCGAACGTAATAATCTATGCTCAAAATGTAGTCCGGAGAGCATGCGGAGACAGGCGTCAGTCAACCAGT